GACCAAAATCTACCATTAAGACCCATCCAAGCTCCCACTAAATTTGGAGGCAATGGGGTCATAAATATGATGAGATACTTGGGCTCTGGCTGCGCTGTCCAACAGTTGGTCCAACAAATGATGAATGAGAAGGGTGGACTCTGGTTAATGTCAAACCATATTGCATAGACCACCTGACTGTTAAAGTCAGCCTGCTTTATTAAAATGTCCAGTATGCTGAGGAGGCTTTATTCTCTGTCCTAAGAAATAATAGAGCTAGATTTCTACAAGCCATGAAATCCTTCTTGAGACTGCTTGGTTTGTTTATTGGAATTGGTTTGATGCAATAAGCTAAGTGACATCTTTTCCACAAGGATTTATTAAAGAAGACTGGACCTGCTGACCTGAGTCTTGGAAGAAATTAGGGTGGTGTCACAAAACATTTATTAAAAAGCCAAACCTGGAGAAGGATAATCAAAAATCCTAGTTAAATTCTCAAAGTGAGAATAATTCCTCTCCTCTGTAATCCTTGCCTTTGTTAAAAACTGAATATAGATGTGCCCAAGGGCTAAATACTATTGCCTTGTAATCAACACTCACCAGTTCACCTGGGATGAATTGATGACATTATTACCCTTCTCTCAGTCTTGAATGTTTCTTAATATCTTCGTGAAGTGACTGTGTAAGAAGGATGTACAGAGGTCTGAGGGGAGTACTTGAAGCCACCTGAGATGTTGAGAAGTAAGTGCCTGGTATCAAACAGACCTGCCTCAGACTTTCTGTCTCCTGGGAACATCCTGGGAAACACGGTAGGATGCCTTGAAAGCTCTTTAGAGCAGGCTAGTGGCTGGGGGGGGGGAGAGTAAAATAGAGGAAAATCAAAGGATCATTGATTTTGAGCTAGAAACCCTTCACTTTAAAGATGTGTCCACGGACTTGTGTTCAAATTCTACCCTTGCTACTTATATTCCTTGTGTGCCATTGAGGTCAGAAGGCCTAGGTTCTAATGCCATTTGTGCTGTTTACTACCCTTTTGATCTTAGGTAAATCACTTAATCTCTCTTTGCCTCAATTTGAGGGGGTTGGGTTCAGTCAGGGTCCTTAGCCTGGTTTTTTATTGTTTATTTTTATCATGGATCCCTTCGGCAGCCTCGGGAAGTCTGCAGACCTTTATTTGAATAATGTTTTTAAATGTATAAAGTAAAATTCATGGGATTACAAAGGAAATCAATTATATTAAAATGCAGTTAGTAATAATTTTTTTTAAAAAACAAGGACCAAGCCCAGTTTATGATTTGTAATTTCTCTCCCAGTTTCAAATCTGTGAAGCTACATAGGATGTCCTTTGAAACATCCATAATTTTGATTCAGAGATTGTCGTTGTCTGTCATCCACAACCAGACTTGCTCTTTCCTTTTAGCTAATGCTTATATAATGCCTACTGTGTGGTACTTTACGTATGTTATCTCAGTTACAACAACCTTGGAGGTAGGTGCTATTATCATCCCTATTTTATAGATGAGAAAACTGAGGCAGACAGAAATTAAGTGACTTACCTGGGTCACACAGCCAGTGAGTGTCTGAGGCTAGATTTGAACTCCAGTCTTCCAACTCTAGGCCTGGCACTCTGTCTACTGTGCCACCAGCTGCCCCATTTTTATTCTTCAAATCAAATTATATGTACTTCTCTAGGTAATTGAAGCTGGGTAGAAACTTCCAGATCTAGTGTTCTGCTGTCACAACCTTTGAGAAGGGAAGGTCACCACTCTACTCACATCAGATCAAGACTTGATTGAAAAATTGGGAAAAGAGTGGATTTTGGTGTCAGGCAGCCAGTTAGGACTGTGCAAACTGCTGTATGATTCCCACAATGCTGCGCTCAGCACACAGCTCTTCTCCCATTCAGGGCTAAGACCAGCTAATCGCCCATCAGAGGATCCAATTCTAGAACTCAGTACTGATTCACTAATGTAATAGGTGACCCATACATCTACTTCCATAATTAGGCCTTTGGCCAGTTGCATTTTTTTCTGCATGGACTTTTACATCCATTTCCTTTGAGAGGCCATCATGGTTGCCATTGAGGAGGTTCTGAAATATTCTAGGGTCATCTGTAAGCTTTGTTTCTTGGATGGATCTACGGAACCCACCCACATTCATTCCTCCCATATCAGATTACTCTTCCTAAAACACTGCTTGCGTGTTTCTTCCCAGTTTAATTGAATTCTGCAAAAAGTAAATTAAACATTTCCCATAGAATGGACAGAAAGGCAGCATGGTATAGTGGTTAATTAGATGGCCTCTAAATCAGAATAGACCTGAGTTCAAGTCCTTCCTCTGAAACATTTTAGATGGGTGACCCTAGACAAGTCACTAATTTAAGTGCCCCTAGGCAACTTTCTAAGACTGTAACTTATAGATCTGGAGTTCACCACACTGATGAAATCACAGGTACAGATTACCTCACCCTCTCCAAGCACCACCACCAAAAAAGGCAGAGTACTCAAAAAGAGACAAATATAGGTAAGACATATCCTTTGCCCTCATGATGCTTACAGTCCAGGAAGGGAATACACTACCTATTCAAATAATTAAAATACAAAAAAAATGAGTGCAGAAAAAGGCCTAAGCAAACTGTTCTGTGATATTTAAGACAAAAAGATAATTTCTTCCTGAGATCATGGGAAATTTCACTGAAGAAGTGAAATTTGAACTGGGTCTTGATGATTGGGCAAAATTTCAACCAGTGGAAAATTGAGAAGGGGGCAGTAAGGGGAAAGGGGAAGATCTTGTCAATGATTTCCCAAAGTCCAAACTCCTTAACTTGGCATTTAAGGCTCTCCACAATATTGATCCTGCCTTATCTTGCTAATTTTCACTTCTACTCCCCCCTCCCATCTCAGTGGTTCCCTCTGTTCACTAGGAACTTCTATGTGTTTTTGTGAGGTATGTCCTTTCCTAGGACATCTCAAGTCCAAACAAAGCTTAACCCAATGACCTTAGATCTTGAGAATCAGTTTCTTTCTTTACCCGTAATTCTTATTGTCTGTACCACTCATTTGGCATTTAGCATTTATTATGTTATATGTTAAGCTTTTAATAATGAATGGATGGATGGATGAACAAATGAACAAACAAGTAAATAAACAAGCAAATGAATGAATGAAGACTTATTTTCCTAACCAGATCGCTTTTTTAAAAATAAGGTTTATTGACACTTTTCTGGATGTTACCACTGATCCTAATCTTTCCTGCCACAGAATTGACCCCTCCCTTGTAATGCAGAAAAACAATTAACCAAAATCAATTACTACAGTGACCTACTGCCTTTGACAATGTAGGCAACATTCTGCTCCTATATACCCCCATCTCTTTACAAGCGATTCCTAATTGGACTTTAAACCACCTTGAGGGTGGGAGCTTTGCTTTGTACCTCTTACCTTTAGCACCTAACACAGCATCCTCCATATTAGGGATGTCTAATACAGTTTTGGTGGTTTGCTTGCCTTGTGGTGCAATAGTTAAAGTGCTGAACTTTAAATCAAGAAGTCCTGAGTTCAAATCTCACCCCAGACACTAATAGCTTAGTGACCCTGGGAAAATCACAACCCCTTTCAGCCCCAGTTTCCCCATTGTTAGAAGAGCACCTGCCTTGCAGGTGAGTTAGTGTGAGGATCCAACAAGATAATTCATCTTTGCCATGCCCAGAATTCTCCCTCTTCTCAACTCTGCCTTCTGTCTTCCTTAGCCTCCTTGAAGTCTCAACTAAAATCCCATATTCTGCAAGAAGCATTTCCTGGTTCTCCTTTATGTTAGTGCTTTCCCTCTGAAATTATATCTCCAATGTATCCTGAATATCTACCTATCATGTATCTATCCATCTACCTCTAGAGTGGTAAGCTACCTATTATTAGGTAGATACTATGTTATGCATTGTCTGGGTTAGGTAGATTCCCTAGAGGTAGATAGATAGATAGATGATAGATAGATAGATAGATGATAGATAGATAGATAGATAGATAGATAGATAGATAGATAGATAGATAGATAGATAGATAGATGATAGATAGATAGATGATAGATAAATGATAGATAGATAGATAGATAGATAGATAGATAGATAGATAGATAGATAGATAGATAGATAGATGATAGATAGATAGATAATCTTGTTTGTACCTCATTGTTAGCATGTTGTTTCCTCCCCACCCCCATTAGATCCTGAGTTTCTCGGGGGCAGGATCTATTTATACCTTTCTTTGATCTCTAATGCTTAGCACAGTGCCTGGTACATTGTAGGTTCTTCCTGAATGCTTGTTGACTAGCATGTTTTGCAAACCTTAAAGTAGTATTTAAATATCAGCTATTATTATTATTGATTTTTATTATTCAATAGATTGCCACAGCTTTCACAGAAAGCAGCCAGTTATTGAAGTCAGTATCTGCTGGTAGATAACTTCTTTGGATTGTTGTTACAGATGCTCATGTTCAGTCACTTTTTTCCTGGAGATGCCACAGTTTGAGGCCAAGCTGTTCAGCCCTTCCATAGAATTTAGAACACAAAAAACATTCATTTAATTTCTGTGTTTTTTCAGGGGTGCATTATGCAAAGATGAAATTCATTTATGGGTTTGTAACTTGTAGAATCCCTGTTCTCCTGCTGTCCTCCTTAGAACATATGATGATAATTTGGGCCAACATGACTCAACTAGCCAGCTGTCTGTTGGCAAAATAGAATGTGTATTCTCAGAACAGCTGTTTGCCAGTTGTTGCCAGAATCTCGGTACAGGCCTCAGACTGATTTTTTTCTTTTCTAATAGCTTGGCACATTTGTTCATTATTGCACTGACATGTCTTGGTTATAATGTTCTTGGGCCATCTGATGTTATACAACAGGGAGTTCTCCAAACAGTAGAGAAGATAGGCATTCCTGAGCCTTCATTAATTTCACACATTGCCGTAAATGGAAAGCAAAGGCAGTAGGGTTGAAGAAGTTTAGCTTTTATTCTTTAAACTTCCTTCTTTTATCAAGTGCTCTTGGGAGTGATACCCATCCATATCCCTGTGCTGTTGTCCCAGGTTCACCATCTGAAGAGACACCAAAAGAGAAGGAAGAGGGGGTACTTCTCTAGGTCCACCATCACTGGGGGTGAAGGCAAGAGCTATGCGTCTTCTTTGGACTCCTAGAAATCTCTTCAATTGGTATAACAGGTACCTGGATAGACAACCCTCCCAAGCCCCATTTTCTCAAGTTATCATCTCGGGGAGTCATTGATAGGATGCTAAGGAACAAGGAGATTTATTCCTTGAGTCCCCCATTGGAATTACAGATACCCAAGATAGCTTTCAATGGCCCCTAAGTCCTTCAAGAGATGCCTGAATATGGGGAATTTTCATCATTGTCTTGAGCCCCAGAATATGTCCTCATGGATCATCTAAGTAATTGTTCCTCTGCTTTTTCTTCTTCCTTCCTTCTTCCCTTGCTTCCTTCCTTCCAACATATTTCCTCAATGCTCTTTTATTTAATATCACTTTCATTTCCCAATAATTCCCATGCCCTCTCACCACCACACCAAAGAACAAAGAAGTAGTTAAGCAAAACTAATCAACACATTGGCCATGTCTAACAATGGATGCCTAATTCTGCATCTATAGCCCACCACCTCTCAGCCAAGAAGCAAGAGGTGTGTTTCACTATCAGTTCTCTGAAATTATGATTGGTCTCTGAACTAAGTTATGATTGGTTACTGAACTATCAGAGCTCTAAAGTCTGTTGGTGTTATTTTCTTTTTCATTAATGTTATCATCACATAAATTGTCTTCCTGGTGTACCAAATGGTAGCTTCTGGCAGTTTTTAATGATTTGAACTAAGTAATCTCTTGATTTGTGTCTTAAGTAATTCCCTAAGACTGTAAGTTGTAGATGGGTCATGGTTTGTTTTGCTACCAGTCCAGCCATACTGGCCCATTTGATATTTTTCTCATAAGATATTCCTTATCTCATCTCCATGCTTTCACACCAATTGTCTCTCAGACTTGCAAAAAAAAATTACATCTTTATTTTCACTAACCTTAAACTGAAATTTAGCATTTCCTTCAGTTATTTTAAAATGTTATTCTGAAGAGTCCATAGGCTTCACCAGACTGCCAAAGGGATGGTGGGAGAGCTCCATGACACCAAAAAGGTGAAGAACTCCTGCTAAGATTACTTTCTATTCACTCGACATGTGTCTTGTTTATACATACACATATATGCATATATGTGTATATGTGAAATGGGGGTTGGATCTCCCATTAAAATGTAAGCTTCTTGAGGACAAGGATTGTTTTTGCTTTTTCTTTGTATCCCTAGAATTTAGCATGGTGCCTGGCATCAAGGTAGCATTTTGTAAATATTTGTTGATTGATTGACAGAGGAAATTCTCATACCAGGAATTACCACACTGACAAAAATCACAGATCTTTGATATATTGACAGTGCCATATCTCTTCTGAAGCCCTGGCTACTAGTGAGTCTATAAAAGCCAGATTGGGGAAACAGAAAACACACTGGGTATGGAGGGAAGCAAGAAACCTTAGTTTCAGTCCATGCTTTGCCAGTAGTTACTCATGTGCCCTTAGTAAAGTCTCTTATTCAAGGTGGACTTCAGCCCAAATCTGTAAAAATAGTAACAGCTTATATTTGTATAGCACTTTTCAATTTATCAGACATTTTCTCACAAAAATCCCCTGAGGTGGGTAATATATGTATTGTTATCCCTGTTTTATAAATGAAGAAACTGAGGTTCAGAATAGTGACTTATCTGTGGTTACTCAGCTAGTCAGGATTTAGAGCTGGGATACAAACCTAGCTCTCCTGACTCCAAATCTAACATTCTTCCCACTACATTCATGCAAACAAAATTAAGTGATTTCCCCAAAATCATGCCACTGTTAAGTGTCAATGCCAAGCCTTGAACTTGGAGTCTCTTGACTCCAAGATGGTGTTCAGGTGATCAAACCTAACTTCATAAGACTTAGAGCTGAAGGGAACTTAGAGGCCATCTAATCCAACCTCCTGTCTCACAGATGAGGATCCTGAGGGACCAAGAGATGATAGGATTCATCCATGGTCTCATAACTATAGGGGTCATTTAACTACATGTCAGAATTTGAGCCTAGATCCTTCAGTTCCAAACCATACTCTAAATTCTCTTCTAACTCTAATTTTCTATATTCTAAGGTCCCTCCCAGTTCTGACATTCTATGTTTGATGATACACCAATATATTCTTCCCCCCACCCCCACACACACACCAAGGCACTTTTTGAACTAATATTCTGTATTCTAAAGACCCTTCTAATCCTAACATTCTAGGTCCTATTTTCTAAGATCCTTTCCAATCCAATGTTTTATGTCCTATGTTCTAAGATCTTTTCTAACCTTAACTTCTTTAGTCTGTGTTCTAAGCTGCCTCCCAGCTTAGCATTTACTGCTTTATGTTCCTAGGGCTAACCCTAATATTCTAGATTCCATGTTCTAAGGTGGAAAGCTCACCCACCCAATGCACCTTTCTATTTTTTCAGGTGCCATTCAGATCTAGCATTATGTTACCCCTCAAGACTGCTTGGTTGGATTTGTCAGCTTCCTTTTGTTATTCTCACAGGTATATTTCAGTAATGATTCACTTCGTAGGGTAGATGGCTGTTATCTGTGCATAGCAGTATATATGTATGTACATATGTGTGTATATGCTGCTAAGTTCAATAGTGTTGTACTCTTTGTGACCCTGTCTGGGGCTTTCTTGGCAAACATACTGGAGTAGTTTGACATTTCCTTCTCCAGCCCATTTTACAGATGAGGAAGCTGAGGCAAACAGGGTTAAATGACTTGCCCAGGATCACACAGCTAGAAAATATCTGAGGTCATATTTGAATTCAGGTCTTCCTGGCCCAGCACTCTATCCACTGGACCACCTAGCTGCATATACATGTGTGCTTATGTGTGTATGTATATGTATATGTGTATGCTTATATATGTCTATAACACATATAATATATATATAATTAAATATAAAAATATACAAAATAAATGTAAAATATAAATATTTATATTTATGTAAAATATATGGTACATGTGTGTAATAGGCCATGGAATGTTAGAACTAGAAGGACTCTTAGAACACAGAATGTTAGCTCTGAAAGTGCTTTAAGTGGAATGTTAGGTCTATTATAGCCAGCATTTGGATAGCACTTTAAAGTTTGTAAAGCCCTCTCCAAATGTCATCTCCTTTTGTGAGCCCGAGCTCTCTGAAGGCAGAGTGCGCCCCTTTTTGTTGGCACCTGAGTTAATTCCTTGGAATGAGAACAGTAGAACACAGTGCTGGTGGTTGATTTTATAGCTCCCAAGCTGAGCGTTCTTTGCCTATTTTATCTGCTTGACTCCTGTCATCTCACAGGTTTTGCTGTCATGGCCAAATTTAGTGGGCACCTGGTGAGGTGCATTGAAGGTGGCGTTAGTTTTAAAATACACACCCTGCCTCTTTTAGGTGGCTGCACTTATAGAACTTGACTGTCCTTTGGGGAGATTAAAAAAAAACTTTAGTTATGTATTTTTCCAAGTACTGTTATATAAATCCTGTTGAATATTAATTCTATAATAATTCACCTTCAAAATTTATGAAGCTAGAAGTAGAAGATGCTGTGATTAACTAGACCCATGGTCTATAAAATGAAGTCTAGTGCAGGGAGATAATTGCAAGCTGAGCTCTGGCTTCTGTGCCTTCCCTACTTCCACTCTTAGCCTGCTGGTAGTTTTTAAAGCACTGGATTTCACAAGACCTTGGCATAAGGATGGCAGCAGAGAGAATTAACACCCCCATCCCAATTAAAGTTACCAACAAGATGTTCTTTGAGTCAATCAAATCCATTAAAATAGGCATGAGGAAAGTCCTTAGTCATTTGACACAGGTGATAATCATTAGGAGAAAGGATATGATGTTGCAGAGGAAGAGGATTAGAGTTAGCTGAAGAGTTGGTCATGTCCTAAGGGACTTGGATAAAAATAGCAAGCTAGTTCAGAATCTGGTGTTCCAATGGAGGGCCAGCCTAGTTGTGAAACAGCTTCGGTCAAGCTCCTAAGAGGTAATCACTTGAATGGGGAGTGGGAAGGAGGACCAGAGGAAGACTTAGTGAACATCAAAATGTTGAAAGATTTGGAACTTTCCATATGTGATTTTCCATATGTGATTGGGACTTTCCGTAAGTGTCCCTTGTTTTGAACAGCAGTGCCTGATGGTGTTATCTACATTGGAAAACAAAAAGATAGATTGAATATAAACTCAATCCCCTTAGGAAAGGATTCCACAGAAAACTAAGCCATGCTAAAGGAAACTTCATGAGGCTGCCAACAAAGGGGAGAAATGGACTTCCAGCAACTATGAGTTATTGCCTTGTCACAAGTGTTCTATAAACTTGAGCCACGTTCCCCTGGATTTTGCATGTACCTGTAATAGAATATTATTTTGGGGGGAGAGAGGGGTAGTTATGTACCAACTGTTATTACCATACCACTTCAGTAAATGCTTGTTTCCAAAAGCTAATTAAATCTGGTTGGCTAATTGATATCAACTGATAATCAATAGGGGAAGCACACCAGCGGGGGCTCATGATCAATAGCAACAGAAGGAAATTCCCAATCCCTCAGAGCAACTTGCCCCATACCCTAAGGGGAGTCTCTCAATATACTAGGATAATAAGATCTTAAAAATAACTAGATGGGACCCTTGAGGTCATCTAGTCCAACCACCTCATGTAACTTCCTTACATTATCTCTGACAAGTAGATATCTTCAACTTGAAGACCACTAGTGATGGGGAACTTATTACCTCTAGAGGCAATGCCATTGTATTTGTGTGATGCAAAATCTACCTCCCAGTACTTTCAATTCATTCGCTGGTAGTGGTGTATTTTTCCCTCTGGAAAAATAACACAAGTTAGTATTGGAAAGAGTCATACACCATTTGGTGCCACTTTTGAAGTTTAAAAATGAAGAAATAATCCTCGAAAGGCTTAGTGATTTCAACTCAGCAAATTTTTAGCTAATGGCTG